TCATCGGTTCCCCCTCTCTACCCCACCTTCCCTCCACCCTCCCAGTATCGCCACTCTCACCACTGGTCCTGAAGGGATCATCTGTCCTGTATTCCCTGTGTTTCCAGTTGCTATCTGTACCAGTGCACATCCTCTGGTCTAACTAGATTTGTAAGGTAGAATTGGGATCATGATAGTGGGTGGGGAGGAAGTATTTAGGAACTAGAGAAAAGTTGTATGTTTCATTGTTGCTACACTGCACCCTGACTGGTTCATCTCCTCCCTGAGACCCTTCTGTAAGGGGATGTCCAGTTGCCTGCAGATGGGTCTTGGGTTTTCAATCTGTACTCCCCCTCATTCGCAATGATATGATCCCCCCCAATGTGGGGTAGCCAGTCCCCACAACTAACCATGGGTTCACTAAGCGCAATTGTATAGTTAAGATATGTAAATATCATGGTAAAGTCATAGAGAATAAGGAGAGATGGGGGAGAGAGAGGAACATAAAGGAGTCAGACATTTCATGGTAGCATGCTCACCTCAGCTCCTCTTGAGTGCACACGTGGAGGTGAAAGATGAGAGGGCAGGAGCGAGCGAGCGAGTGAGAGATTTATTACTAACCAAGGCTTATATTTTTTGGGGGGTTGTGCAAGCCCCCTGATTACAGGTAAAGACGTACGTCACAGGAAGGGGCTGTGCAATAGGCACACGCGTGACAGGAAGGGGATGAACGCTATGGGAAGAGGATGGACTAGGGGTACACATGTGACAAGAATGTGACTCAATGTGGCAGCCTAACCTTGGTCACCCTTGAGTGGGCTTGATCTCCCTGGGCTCTCCTTCAGGGAAACAATCTACTACTATCCTTATCGGAAGGGAGTGGGCCCTACTTAGGGTGGGACAGACTGTACAGTCTGATTGCTCTAGATGACTGATAACCCTTAGGGAGAATAACCTCTGACCTACTTCTGTTGACCTCCAAGTGTATAGTCGTTTACCATGTGTAGCAAGCAGCTAAGTTTGGGATATATTTGGGGGAGACAACCTGGGAGAAATCTTCCTGTATCCCACACCCCAATGCAGTAAAAATTACATAGCTTAGACTTGAGAAGTTATTTTTCTGTTAGGAGCAAACTTTGCCTATGCCCTTGCTGTGTGGGGCAGGCCTGCGGCCCTGCCCTGGGAGTTGTCAGCAGGAGGGCTGAAGTCCCCGCGCTCGTTTGTGAAAACCAGAGGAACCTTGAAGCTTCTGGACTCTCAGAGGCTGTCCCAGTCCTTTGGCTTGGAGCCGTCTTCTCCCAACGTCAAAGTCAGCAACGAGCCAAGCCCTCCTGTCTCTTGTCTCTCCTCCCAGCTGGGGCGTGTTCTCAGCTTTGAAGGGTCACCTGCAGGCCCTTACCCTCAATCCCATCTGCAAGTTCCTCTTGGCCTGTGAAGTTGGGTGTTGGTGTGCGAGGGGATAATTCTGCTACCGCCCACCCTGAGCTTCCCTGGGTGTGGATCTGGTGCCTCTCGGGGGTCCCCGAGAGCTCACTCGGGGGTGGCCCTCTCTCTGCACTGTCCTCTGAAGGGGACCGGTTTGTCCTACTGTGATAGAACCATGTGTTTCTAAGAAATCTTCAGTTTAAAAAAATACCCTTCAAAAGATACTGTTTCTGTGGACAAAATGTCAAGGAGTTGGACGTTTTGGATTTGTAACAGGTAGCCATCCTAATTTCCCACGCAATTTCCCGCAGAAAAGAACTTTAAACGTGAGTGTATTTTGGATGCACCGTTAGACGGTGTATGTTGCTTAAGCGAGAGAAGCTGGACAATGGAGGGAGACTGGAGAAGCGATCGCGGTGTCGACAGAGGGCTCTGAATGTGCACGGAGTCCAAGAGTAATGAGCAAGCTGTCCTGGAAGAAGTACGGCCAGAACGCGCCTTCGACCCAAGCATGGCGACAGCTCATCTTATATCAGGAGGACCAGGGACTGAAGAAGGACATCGCGCTCCTCTAAGAGGAGACTCTTGGTTTATGGGGAAATGGGGTGCAAAGATAATGGACTGTCCCCACCGATGGCTCTGTTGCACACCCACGCCCACTCCGATTAGGGTGACGCCTGCTGGTTCAGCGCCGTCAAAGAACTCAAGGGGTACCAGAGTGGCGGGAAGTGGACTCTTGGCCCGAGGGTTTTGACATCAAGTTGGCCAGGCTGCCTCAGGCAGTACAGTCCCTGTCCACAGCAGAGGGGAATTCAACATCGGAGCTCAGGACCAGGCAGTACTAAGACCTACCCAGACTGGCCCAGTTAAGAGGTAAGCAGATGGCCCTCCGTGGAGTTCTGGGTGTGCCCGTTCACGAGCCTGCTCTCAGGGATGGACTGTTTGTGATCATCCGACGGCGTAACTTGTGCTCACTTTCCTGCCTACAAGCCACTCTCTCACTGAGCTGCTGTGGACAGGGGTGCGGGGCTGCCCACCCTGCTATCGTCTGCGTCGCCCCAGACACCGTTGACTCTCCACCCAGGAGCACCGCCCTCTGGACAGAGTGACTGGCGCGTCTTCAGAGGTTTTAGAACGTTTTCTTATTTTCATTTCACATTAGGAGAGAAAGAAGGGTGAAGAAACGTGGGGCCGCCGTCTCTGTTGGCATCCTCACAAGCAGTAGTGGCGTCAGATGAGGAGACCCTCCTGCAAGAGGAATGGTTGGTTGTGCACAATGCCTTTTGAGCTCTGCCGAAAGCCTTTTGTTAAGAGTGACACATATTTATTCTTTCCAAATATACACCCCATTGAAAGGAATGCTTGTCAGTAAATCATTATGTCGGGTTCTTTCCAAAAAAAGAGAGAGGAAGACCCTCAAGGACCTGGACTGGCAGTGGCTGGAGGGCGGGGCGGTGGGCCCTGCTGGACCAAGACCAGGCAGCGTTTCACTCTGCTGAGCTGGAACCAGCTAGAAAGCAGATCAGCAAAAACCAGACATAAACCCTGCTGCATAAAGTCTGCAACAATTGGTTCACACGAAGTTCCCAGACCTTCAGGGCATCCATCCACCCATCCATTCATCCATCCATCCATCCATCCATCCATCCATCCATCCATCCTTCCATCCATTCTTCCACCCACCCATCCATCCATCCTTCCATCCACCCTTCCTTCCTTCCATCCATCTATCTATCCATCCATCCATCTACCCATCCACACACCCACCCTTCCATCCATCCATCCGTCCTTGCACCCATCTATCTATCCATCTATCCACCCATCCTCCCACCCACCTCTCCATCCATCCATCCTTCCATTCATCCATCCATCTTTCCTTCCTTCCTTCCCTCCTTCCTTCCTTCTTCCCATCCATCTGTCCTTCCATCCACCCATCCACCCACCCACCCATCCCTCCATCCCTCCATCCCTCCATCATCTCCTCCAAAACCAAGGTGGACGAGGCTGGTGTCTTGGGCTACAAACAGATGGGTCCGGGGGGGCGGGGGGCTTTTATTGCCTCTTGGTGACCCTGTAATGAAGGTGGGCCTGGGCTGTTATTTTAAGGACCCACCCTGGGGGCAGGAATTGCAGGTCCAGACAAGCAGTGTGGAGGGAGCTCAGCACCCTGCCTTCAGCTCACTCAGGACTCCTGGAGGGGGATTCGGACTACCAGGGTCCGTTCCAGTGGGCAAACTCTGAGATGGGCACTGCCCGTGTGCTGCGTGGACTATGCCAGCTGAGTGGCTGCAGGACACTGTGGGCATCCACATGTGGGCCCCACCTGGTCCCTGACTCCACATGCGACCCCTGTTTGGTCCCCACACCCCAAGTGTGAGTCCCACCTGGGTCTTGCCCTGGACATCTATGGGGTCCGGCACGTGGGCAATGCTGCTCTGCTGCCCCTGCTGGGGCGGGTCCTTGGCGTCATGAGGTATCTGCGGGGGTCTCAGTGCTGGGAGTAGCCTGCGTGGAGGACAGTTAATGCTACTCAGGTGCCCAGGCTGTGACAAGCAGCTGGTCCCCTGCCTCAGGAGCCCTCTGGGTAGGTCTTTCTGGCGGGCAGCCCAGCACCTGTCCTCTGCATGACTGGGACTCTTGTCATCAGAGCTAGGTGTGTGCTGGGGAAGCACCTGCAACAGCCCCCCCACCAGTGCGGTGTCCCCCAACTGGCCCGCAGGTCCTGCCCCCCCCCCCCCCACCTCTGCCCCTCCAAGGAGCTAATTGTCCCAAGGCTCTGAGAGTGGGGCCCGGGTGCGGTGTCTCCTGCTCTCACACAGGGTTCTCAGACACTTCCTGAAAGACGGGGCAGCAGCCTAGCTTGGGTGAGCCCAGAGCCTCGGGGCGACCCACACTCGGGCCCAAGAGAGGGAGGTGGGTGCTGGAGCCTGGCGGATGGAGGTGCAGCTCAGGGGCCAGGGTGCTGGGTGTCGTAGAGGGTGGGAAGGCCTCTGTGGTCCTGGGACACAGCACTCTTGCCAGGGCGCATCTGAGGAAATGTGGGGGCGCTCTAGGTGCCTGGGGTGGAGGGGCGGTCTGAGGGTCTTTCGGGGGGAACTTAAAGGGCCCGGGTAGTATCTGAGTTTGTGTGGGGTAGGGAGTTTGGGATCTGGGTGGGCTGTGAGGATATGTGGGAGCCCCCCCTAAGGGTCTGGTCTGAGAGTCTCTATGGGGAAGTTTGGGGGGAGCTTCTGAGTGTGGAGGGATTTGAGTCTGTGGGGGGCCTTGTTTGGTCCAAAAGTCTCTAATGAGGAACTTCAGGGGCTGGGTGCAGTCTGAGGGTGTGTGGGACCCTGGGTGCTGGGCCATGCCCCTTGGTGGCTATACCCCTGTGTGTGGAGTGGGGGAGAGGGTGAGTCTGCTGAGTGTGCACCTGTCCTGCTAAGGCCACATCTTCAAGAGGCTTCCTCAGGGGACAGAGGTGGGTGGTCTCTGAGGTCAGGGGCGTGGCTGAGTTAGGCAGAGCTCTGGGCTGGGCTCTGAGCAGCCCAGCTTGTGTCGGGACCCCGGGACCCTCATCTGCTCTCTGCCCGGTGACCAGGTGTGTCTCCCCACAGATGAGAAGATGTAGTGGGCTGGCCCAGGCCACCTGCCCGGAGTTTGGTACGGAGCCCCGCCGGACAGTGCACACCCCAGGAGTCCCCTCCGGCCACCCAGCCTCACCATGTCCAAGAAGGGGGCCGGCAGCCGGACGCGGGGGGACAAGGCTGAGGCGTTTGCTGCGTTGCAGGCCGCCAACGAGGAGCTGCGGGCCAGGCTCACAGACATCCAGATCGAGCTGCAGCAGGAGAAGAGCAAGGTGGGCGTGACCCCTGACCCTTGGCCCCAGACCCCTGTAGCAGCAGAAGGACAAGGTGGGTACCCTGACCTTGGCCCCAGATCTGGACTGCAGGCCTCTGTCCAGAACCCCTGCCCTGCCCCACTGCATCAGAAGGACAAAGTAAGCGCTCTGATCCTGAACCCTGAACCGTAGACCCTTGCCCCAGACCCCTGGAGCAGGAGGGCCCTGACCTTGATCCTAGGCCCTAATCCCAAATTGGAGGTCCCAGACCCTCAGACCTGGGCACCAGGCCCCAAATCCTGAACCTGAACTCCAAATCCCTGCCTTGAGTGGTGCCTTCCGGATGGACAGGGTTCTGCAGCGGCGTAAGGCCTGGGGTGGGCCTCCATGAGCTCAGCGGTGGACAGCCAGGGTGGGGCAGGCGGCCAGGTGGGCTCATGACAGGCAAGCGGGCACTATTTGACTGCTCCTTGACCAGCAAAGGGTCTGGGGTCCAGGGGTAGGGGGTGGGGGGCACTCCTGAGGTTCTCAGAGTCCCCGCAGCAGCTCTGCCCAGCAAGGATTTAGTTTCACCAGAGGACCCGCTGTGTCAGAAGCAGCTTGGCTTAGGGTGTGGGCAGAGGTGACCCTGACATGCGGGGCGCACACACCTCCCTCCTGGCCTTGCTCTCCGCTGCCCCAGCCCTGCCCCCTCTCTAACTCCGAGGTGCGGGGCGGAGGTGCCCTTTTACTGTCTCACTGCCCAGTGAGGCTGTGGCTAGGTGGCCTGGCCAGGGTGGGGACTGCCGCCTGGCCGATGGAGCTGAGCATGGTGCTGTTGGCCCCAGACTCTGTGCCCGGTTCCCTGAGTAGCACCTCCGGTCTTTGTGTCAGGACCCCTGGAACTGGCAGGGCAAGCTCCCCGGAACAAAACCCCAAAGGCACAAGGACAGGGCCCCATTCTCCCGTCTCCCAGAGGGAGGTGAGGCTGGAGCCCTGTGCACAGGGCTGTAGCTGCACCCACAGCCCCATTCCCGAGATGACCCTACAGAACAGAACCACCTGAGACTGAGTCTCTGCAGAAGGAGACACCTCATCCTTCTTCCTCTCAGAGCCGGGGCGGCGGTGCAGGGGCGGAGCTGGGGGGTGCCCTGACCTGGCAACCTTTCAGTGTGCCGTGCTTAACCCACTGCACCACAGGGCACCTCCCACCCACCTCGGACTCTCCCACTTTGTGCAGTTCCCCACACCATGCTTGCTTCCAGAACATTCCACCGGTCGGATCTCACGCAGCAGCCCCCGAAAAGGGATGCTTGGCCCTGTGTTTGTTCTACTGAGCTCTTGCCTGGCTGCCCTGTTCCTCACCAAACACCAAGCCCTGGTTTCCTCAGGGCATCCTGCCTGTGCCCACCGGGACCTGCAGGAAAGGCTTTCTCCCCTCCTAGCTATCCACTGCTACGCCTCTCCATGGGCAGGAACGGGGATACACACCCTTTTTCTGTCTTCCTCCCATGTACCCAGCTTTCCCAACCGTCCGACCAACCAACACATCTGGGCCAGGCTCAGACCCAGGTCCCCTGCCCAGGGAGAAGACCGCACCTTCTCCCCCCCCTCCCCTTAGACCTGATTCTAGTTTCCATTCTGTGATGTGGGGATGGGGGGGTGGAGACAGCACTGCCCCCCCCCACCAGAGGTCTTCAGGCAGCACTTGGGGAAGCCCGCAGAGGTGGGACTGCCCATCCCATCCCTGTGGGCTCTGCTGGTCAGTGAGAGAGGGCCCAGCAAGTGAAGGAACTGGGCCACGGGTCAGGGCATCTGCCCTGCGGTGGCACTCGGAGCTTTAGGAGGGAGGGGACCCAGCAGCTCCCAGGACTTGGGGAAGCCCCTGAGCACCGTGCCCTCATTCCACACTTGTCTCTCTCACAGACTATGCCTCCTGGGGCCTGATTAGAGGGTGTCCCCCACTTCTTAGAGCAGTGTCCCTCTGCTCCTGTTAGCTGCCCCTGGGAGGAGCGTCTCCTCCTTCCTCAGCTCCCGCCTTCCACCTGCTTTGGGATGGGGCGTTCTTGCACCTGGTGGTCAAGGCTCCTTCACCTGGAGGTGCCTTGGGCACAGAGGTTCTGTGTCCGGCTGCAAGGTCAGCAGCTCAAGTCCACCAGCTAGCGCCATGGGAGAAAATGGGGCTTTTTATTCCACAGACAGCGACAGTCTCAGAACTGACAGCCAGCCCTAGCCTGTCCTACAGGGTCTCTATGAGTTGGCATTGGGGATTTTTTGTTCACTGTGACTGATTTCATCGGAGTGTGTGGATTTGAACAGATTCGGTGGGCTCCCATTAATTGCAAATCTTATCCCTGTTGGTGCTTTGAGTGGCCTTCTTGGGGGCTCGGCTCAGCTGAGTCCTCTGACATGGGCTGGCGGATTCCCTGCTGCACCTGGGGGGGGGGGCATTCAGCACAGCCACTCCTCTCCCCCCACGGCCTATCCCATGGCATCCCTGGGGCATGCCGCTGCTGGGCTGCTTGGGGTCAGTGACACTCGTGCGGGCACACACACATACACACCATCCCCCCCACCACACATAGACACACTGTACACACAAGCACATACACACACCACGCACATGCATACATCACACATTGAAATACACATACACTCACATTGCCTGTAAATACACATCATAGACACATACCGCATCCTCACACATGTACATACACCTCCACACACACATGTACACACACTACATATACACACCCACCCCTGACACACACACATACTCACATACATCATACCACACACATACATACCACACATAAACCCACCATACACACAAGCACACACACACACACACAAATACACACTACACATGCATGCATATACTACATGCACACACAAATACACACTACACATGCGTGCATATACTACATACATACATGCACACATGCACACATCAGACACACAGACACAGAGTGGACTTCAAAGCTTCCTGAAAGAATTTAATTAAAAGTTAATAGACTTTTTCACAAACTTTTTGAAGCCCCTCAGCTATAGGAAGCTAAAATACCTTTTACGTTTGAAAAGGTCAAGCCAAATTCAGGACAACAGGTTTTTATTTAATCTCTCATTTCCAGCCCTAGTGGCACAGTAGGTTATGCACTGGGCTGCTAACTGACAGGTCAGTGGTTCAAGCCTGAAGTCTGCTCTGTGGGAGAAGATGGGGCTGTCTGGGTCTCTAGAGATTGACAGCTCCAGAAACCCACTGAGGCAGGTCCACTCCCTTCTATATAGGGTTTCTCTGAGTCAAGATTGACCCACTGAGGCAGGTCCACTCCCTTCTATATAGGGTTTCTCTGAGTCAAGATTGACGCCAGGGCAGTGAGTTTGGGTCTGGGGATTACATTTGTAGGATCGCTGATGACACCGTGGTTACGATGCTTGACTGCTAACCACAAAGCCATTGGTTCGAATCTCCCTGCCGCAGCAGCTCTGCGGGAGAAAGATGAAGCTGCTTGCTTCCATGGAGACCGGATAGGGCAGTGCTTCTCTGGCCTGCGGGGTTTCTGTGAATCAGAATCGACTGGCAGCAGTGGGTTTTTACATCCCACTGTGTCTCCATTTGTCCATATAAAAAATCCTTGTTACCAAAGAAGCAGGAGATGATCGCATTAGAATATCCCATAATAATCTACATTAAACAGACGGTGGTTTCCGATGACAATAGGGTTGATATGCGTACTGTCACTGCTAACTAGAGCGACTGAGGCACTGAGGTCCCCACATGCTCTCCTGCTATGTCTGCATCGTCAGACACTGCGTTACCTTTTTGCCCACATTGATGCCTTCCCTGAGAAATCCCTAAGTGGTTTTTCATTGTCCCGTCGGTCTGGTGCAAACAGCATGCACTCCTAAACAAAAGTCAGGTGACCTCTCCCTCACCAGCAGCTGCGTGGAGTCCACAAGGGACCCAGAAGTTCCTGGTCACCATGTGACAGGTCCTTGTGCTGCCGTCTCTGGCCATGTTGGTTGTCGGGAGCGTGCTCTCCTGCAGACTCTTGGTGGAAAGCCCATGGGAACAACATCCCTGTGCCCTTGCAGGTTGACTCCTTGCAGGTTGCGATGTGCCCTTTACACTGAAACTTTTATTTCACTGGATCTAAAACCCTTTGCTACCGTTGTCGTACCTTAAAAATGTTTCTCATTTTCTTCTGACACAAATGATAGCTACCACAATGTCCAATGACAATTCAATGTTCTTTCTCTGTTATGTTGTGGATTGAATTATGTGGTTCCCCCCACCCCTTGGTTGGGCCAGGAAGCTCAGTGCTTTGGCAGTTATGTAATGATACAATTATCCCCCATGATGATGAGAATAATCAGCTGTAAGCCAATAAATTACTAGGGAGTTAGAGTGGGATGCAATAGCCTAACTCAGGTCATAGTCCTGGTCGATGTGAGGGGATTTAGCCTGCAGTATGGCCTGCTTCCCCCCTGTCCTATAAGAGATAAAAGAGGGAAGAAGAGCAGGGGTCGGGGGGTGGGGGTTGCTATTACCACCAAGAAAGAAGAGCCAGAAGTTGAGCACATCTTTTTGGACACTGGATCCCTGTACGGAGAATCTACTAGACTCTGGGAACAATTACTGTCATGACACATGGAAATCTCCAAGGGACCCTGAGACCACAATTATTGAAAGGAGAAGGATTCCCCTCAGAGTTGGCAGAGAGCCGTCCCCAGACTTCAGACTTTTAGCCTCCTCAGCAGTGAGAAGATAAATGTCTGTTCCTTAAAGCCATCAACTTGTGGCACTTCTGTTATAACAGCACTAGATAATCAAGACAGAATTTGGTACCAGAAGTGGGGTGCTGCTCTAACAGACATCTAGCATGAGAAAGCAGATCTGAAGAATGTTAAGGGGCCTCGCAGTAAAAGCCTAGATTGTCTTGAGGAGAGCGCCGATGGAACCACGGAAAGCAGAGGCAGCTCTAGTGGGGCTCAGGAGGAAGTGGGGAGCAATGCAGCACCAGAGTCGTGCAGCTCAC